ATTCATAACAGCAAAGGTTTTCACGTACTGCCCAGAACCGCCATTGACTTTAGTAATATTATGCAGCTTTAACTATCCTCAAAGTTTAGTAGGCAACCAATGATCATTTTTAATCGGCAACCAATAAACAAGTATTTGGTACACACCCAGACCTAAACGAGAGCTTGTTATAATGAGAATATATGAGAGCTAGATTATAGATGATATGTGAAAGATTCATGATAACGTGAATTCAGCAAAACCAAAGCCTATATATGCGAGCTATCTTTTATGGTGGGTAAAACTTTCTTGATCAAGCATACTGCATAAAGGCATGAATTAACTCCAAATACTAACGAAATTTTCAGATTTCCGAATTTAGGATCGACACTTCATCATCCTGCCTTCGTATATCTAGCCTGGGGAAATGTTACCCGACAAATTTATGCACTAGGAAACATTTGCTGGAATTGCTAATGAAATCAATGACCTTATTAAGGAAAGCTTTCCTTTCTGTACACTTATCAAATAAACTTTTAAGTCATTTTAGTCCTGATAAACATTTTCTTAATTTGTGGGTGGCCAAAGATACAGTAGCTGTTGAGCGGCAAGAGAAAAACAAGTTTTCCATAACAGATGGTATAGTCGTTATATTCATTGTCAGATCTAGGATTGAGTCTTTAGGTTTTGTTCATGAATAAACAATTAGCCATAAAACAAGCGGTATTTCAACCTACACATTAAATTCGACATCATGCCGCACACCCTGCCAATTCACGAAATTCTTCGTTGATAAGACAAATGATTTTTAAACCACCAATTGTATTAGCAGAGCAAAGAAACATGCATTAGATACAAGCAAAGCGACATGTTGATTGTACCAACATGGAGCGTGACAAGTGTTTTCCTAGCAGAGGTATATTTCTTTACAATTATGCGGGTGATATTGGAAAGTCTGACCGATACGGACGAATTTGCTCCAAAATTCTTCACTGCAAAAATTTGGAACTCATCATAACAAAATTATTCTTTTTGGGAACGAGCGCCTTGTCCGATTTCATGAAATCACGCGCATTATAAGCACGGAAACATTTTTGGCAATTTCAAGAGCAGCTCATTCAATAAGTCAAGTTTTGTTGGGAAGGAAGTCCTGAAAAAAGAGAAAAATCTTAATGATTGGGCTCCATTTTTATTATTGTTTTAGGCCAAGTTTTTATGCGAGCTATTCTGATGAAATAAAACTTGTCTTTTAATCTAACTAGTGCTCTCCCATTACCCAGTCTTTCCTCCCTAGCAACCCTCCAATGCCTAAAAGAAGTGCATCAATCATACCAATACCTATAATATTAAACATGCTTGTTTTTATTTAATTTCTTTCCCTTTTTCCATAGGTACAGTGTCAGCTGTATAGACACAACAGATACCGTAGTTTGAATTATCGTCAGTATGTGCCTATAAACGGAGGCTATCAGTTGCCTCGTTATCGACCGAATTATCTAGCAGCACAAGCCGGACAACCCAACGCACCGTTTGGTACTCGCCGTCCATTGCAGGGACGCTTCAATAATCTGAACGGAGGGAACCCATATCGGCCAGTTGGCTATGGAAATTACTTGAGACAGCTAAACCAAGGCTATCTGCCGCAAGGCCAAAAAAATACCGCCTTCCAGTTCTCCCCGTACAAGACAGGGTTTCCATTGGGTGCCCAGATACCCGGCTATTCCCCCAACCATTCACCTTTGCCGTTGTCAGCGCCAAGCTTGTATGGTTACGGAGGCTACCAGGTCGACCGTTGGGGACAGTGGAGCAGTTGGTCCCAGTGCTCTCGTAGCTGCAACGGTGGAGTCCAAGAAAGGACAAGAAACTGCTTGACGTATGTCTATACGAAATTTATACCCTTTTGTTTCTGAGTCATCATTACCAGTTTTCTGAGCTAAAAAACATCAACAGTTGTGTGCGTGGCCTAAATATGGGACCACACCTGAGGAATCATGCCTTTTATTAAGATATATTTGTCAGTAGGGCTGAAAAGGACATTACCTCTCGACCTTCAGTTGAGTGTGTTAAAAGTTCGTTTTTATTTTATAGGCTGCCAAATTTTCATTTTCGTATAAAATCATTTTCATATTTTTCTTTAAAGCTCAATGCAAAACCATTTAGGTCCAAGCATTGAAAGCTATATTTCAGCAATTTTTTGGGAAATTCCCAACTTCTCTTTAAACCACCCATTTTCATTCTTATTCATTTGCCAACAGCCAAAATGACCTAAAGTAAACCAACACTTCTTTTAGTGACTTCTGCGGGCATCTTTGACCATCGCTCTAGTGCTTTCTTCGTGTATGTTTTCCCCTTCTTTTGAGCTTTTCACAATCATTCAATCTCCGTTTCTTTAGCTCTCATTAAAATTCCAGCGAATCTTTACTCCTACCAGCACCTTTTATGAATTATTAACTTCACGTAGAGAGCACCCTTGGGGTCGATGATCAATTAATTGGTCTCAATGAAACTTCCTTCACCTACAAAAACGATTGATTCTTTTTCTTAGTGCCAGTGCAAATCTCCTTTCTTCATTTTAATAATCTTACCATATTTGCGATTGGATTATGATCCTATTTAAGGCCCTTATTTGTGGTTTTTGAGTCGAATCAGAGCTGTTTCCTTCTCAAAAACATTAACCAACCAAAGATGCAAGTCGCCATGAACTCTATCGCAATTTTGTCGTATGAAGGGCTTTCACGTCATTTGTGCCTCTAACTAACATTCCCTGACATGTCATATTGGTGATAAAACGTTAAACCTATGACTACGAAAAACCTTGCTAAATTTATTACTACGAAAAACCTTGCTTCGCAATAACAGTGGTCTTCTAAGCCTTTTGTTGCCGCATAACATTGTGAACTCCATGCGGATTAAATTTATTGTGTTATGGTTTTGCACAAAGAGCGACTGTGGCTGCCTTATTTTTCACTTTAACTTGAAATTCATAGATGCACAGTGTTCGAGTCACCTCGTCTAACTTGCTTTTAAAAACCTCATACAAATATTTGGCTGCCCATTCCCCTTTACCTAATCAAGCATTAAACCTCTAAAGATAGCAACATAGGGTGTGTTAGCAATTTCCTATGTTTTCCAGTGATATGATTTAATGTGTTTAAACTCAACACACCCAAATTAGAATCAAAGAAAGATTGAACTCTCAGCCATCTATACATTTTTGACAAAACACCCTTTCAAAATGTGTATTTTGTTTTGCTTAGCGTTTATCTTTGACATCGATATAGAAGTAGTCAAGATTTTGGCTCACTAGAGTCAGCGCTGAGTCAGAATCAGCTAACAGAGTTGTTCGATGCATTATTTCTACGGGAATGTTTACAGTGAAACGTCCGTGGACGTCTACAACGGACACATGCTTTCAGTGGACATCTCCTTACAACAGACAACTTCCTACAACGGACAACTCCCCACCACGGACAACTCCCCACAACGGACAACTCTCTACAACCGACAACTCCCTACAACCGACAACTCTCTACAACCGACAACCCCCTACAACCGACAACCCCCTACAACGGTCACGTTGCTTTTAGGGACAACTCCCTACAACGGACACCTTGCTTTAAGGGGCACCTCTCTACAACGGACACCTCCCTACAACGGACACCTCCCTACAACCGACAACTCTCTACAACCGACAACCCCCTACAACCGACAACCCCCTACAACGGTCACGTTGCTTTTAGGGACAACTCCCTACAACGGACACCTTGCTTCAAGGGGCACCTCTCTACAACGGACACCTCCCTACAACGGACAACTCCCTACAACGGACACCTCCCTACAACGGAGAATACCCTACAACGGACAACTCGCTTCAAGGGACACCTCCGTACAACAGACACCTCGCCTTAAGAGACATTTTCCTACAACGGACATATGTTCGTTGAATAGGCGGGGTAAAACAGCATCAAAAGAATTTTTAAGTTCTAAGCAAAACCTTCCGAGACATCATTGTTAGGAGTCACAGGTCAAAAAGAGAACTTCCTGTCATTGCCAAACCGCTCAATTCCTTGATGATTTCCTCCGTATTCACTTCAACTCCCAAAATATATGGCATTTCCTTTATTGGTCATCGAAACCTTCAGACTGCTTTTTGACGTTTTATACTCTGAAGAGTGTCAGACGAAAAGTTTCAGTATGACTCAAAATACTTTCTCTTTTCAAAGCAATTTTGAAATTTTGTACCACCAAAAGGTTGTTTGATGACATTATCTTGTTTCTGGCTACATCTTCACAACTGCCTATAGGTGCATGGTGCAAGCAGTTGACCTGGATTTGGGATTTGCATTGCCTTGGACAAACATAACGTTATGTTTACATATCCTATTTCCGAAATTGATCTGTTTGGCTTTTATTCATTAAAATAATATACAATTTCTCATTTTTTTTAATATGCCTTGTTGAATATCTCAAACCAAGCACCGTTACAGTTTTATCATTTCTAATTCAACATATCGCCGTTCCTCTTGATTATCCGGCCATGTGGCTCAGGAAATCTTTTTACAAATCCAAAAACAGTACGCATTTAAAATCAGATTTCCGTTTTGCTCATCATATTAGTTTATGATATCAAGAAACAATCATTTTTATAATTGTCTTTCTTCAATTTTTCAAGCAAAATACATTTCCTTGTTGACTTCAAAGATTTCTATGTTGACGAATTTGCCAAAATTTCATTTTCTTGTAACTAAGCCCATTACGATTTATCAAATGTTGAATATTGATAATGTTCCTAGATATTTATCTTATATTTATAAGAAAACTCTATGCAACCGGATGTTATCTGTTGTTATCTTCGTTAAAATCGATGAGCGAGGTAGATGCAATTTGGGAAAGAAATAACTATTTGTTTTCATTCTTTGCTGCAATTACAGTACGAAAATCGATTTAAGTTTCAAAAGAAACCTGGGGAGAGTTTCCTGCCACGTGTTATGCCATATAAACCTAAATTATCTTGTTATTGAGGTTACTAATGAGCCACGCCATTTAAAGTTTTCATTCTAATTACTGTTGTACGTTGACAAAACCAGACTAAAAATACTCGATAATTCCCCTTTGATTCCTCGTACTATTTATATAATATTTGTTTTTACGTCTTGCGAATTTTGCGTCTCGTGCTGTCAGGGTTGTAAAGTGCGATTTGTTAACGAGACATACTTGTGAATTGTGTTCCACTTCGGCCTAAAAACTCTTATGTTTTATTTGTACACTTAACTACGTGTAAACTTGAATTCTCGACCCCAGCCTTCCAGTTACCTTCGCACATATGATCAGTCTAATCCAATGCATTGGTAATTGCCATTACGAAATACTTTTTATGGCCTCTTACCGATCTGTTTTCTTATTTTACTGCATTTTCGTAGAAATTCGTAACCACTTCTAACCGTGCTTTATGTATTTTTAGTGCCAAATTGTCAATGACCCTCAGCTTGTACAAGGGACAAGGTGATCATGGAAACTGCCCTGGTTTCGGCAAAGAGTTCCAACCTTGCAACACAAAAGTAAGCGATTACACATAACTATGCTCCATTCAATAAAAGCTCGATTTTGCTTATATTTAAGTATCAAAGTGTTGTCTTTCGTCCATATCCAAATCAAGATGGTATTAAGGTTGCGGCTACAGATTTGGTTATATTTTATGCCTGTGTTATTTATAATCTTTGCTTCGGTTTTGCTGTGGTTTAGAACGCCATAAATCAGACTTACCATCATTTACACCGTGACCAGTGGATGAAGTCATGGCTTTGCGCGTTGCCATCTTTACTAAAACCACCTCCTTTATTCTCATACATTCATTAAAGGTCTCGCTTTACAATTGCCTTTCACTTTTCCCTAGAATTACGCTTTAGAACCGAAAATCCCTTTTTTCCTTCCCTGGAAATGTTTCTTAGTAGTTTTCCGTCGAATAACAAGAGAAAAATAAAAGAAGGAAACAGGTAATGTCAAAAGCAAGCTTAATCATTAGAATCACCTATTCAATCTTTAGATCTTATTCCTGTTTCTGATAAAAAGTCAGTCTACTCGAAATATCGTGATTGTGGCCAAGCTAATCGTCAGGTGGGACAATACAATCGAAATTTGAGAGAGTTTTGCAATGACTTTTTCTCGTATTTAAGCACCTTCACACTTCTTCAACGCCAATTTGAAACAAAACAAAAAACAAAATATGAAGCAAAAAATAAAACAACAATAAAACAAAACAAAGCATAAAACAAAACAAACTAAAACAAACAATTCAACTATAGTATCATGTTTTGGGTATCCAGTGCCTTCGAATACAGAATCAAGTGTACACGATGTTCCATTAGCTATTTTTGCCCAAATTTTAGTAAACAGTGATTTGCCATTTGTTTAAGCTGGTAGGTTTGGATTGTTTCAATTGGTTTCGGGTAGTTTCAAGCAGTTTGGTAATTTTTAATACTTTGAAAACCCAGGAAAATTATGCGAAAAACCTTGTGAAAAACTACGCTCAGTTTTTTGTAAAAGAAACTGGCTATAAGAGTACTGGACAGTCAGAAAGAATTAAGAAACTCCAGTACTCGAAGCAAAAAAATTAAGAAACTGTTAAATCGTGATAAAACTGAGAACAACGAAATTTTGAAAAATCCAAGAACATGATTGCCCTGTTGGCCTAGAACTTAAGACACAAGGGATAAAAATATACTTCCCATATCTAAATACAGTATCAGCACGGAAGCTAATCTCTTGACATGATAAAAAAGGTCACAAATATTTCATAACATCATTCATGACATCATACTTAAGAAACTCTTAAGAAACAATGAGTATTGAAATTTCCAGAACATTAAGAAACTGGAGTACTCAACATCGACCTTTGTTTCTTATCAAAAAATGAGTGTGTTTACTTTTTCTAAGGCGTTTAAAAAATTTTGCACAAATCATAAGAATGCATTATTTTGAAAAGTAAACTTTAAGCATCACCTCAACAGTAAATCTTCTAGCTAAAAGCATTTGAGCCTATTTGTTGCTAAGTAGACACGAGTTTTGGCGAAACGGTGCTAGAAAACATGTTGTTTTGGCCTTTACCTTAACAACTGGGATCATCGTTTCACTTAGATATTTTTGAAAATTTGTAACCTTGTTCAAAGCGTTACACATTCCCACTTAGCTAGCAACACCTTATTAGATTAAACCCAAACGATTTTGTTTGGCTTCTGAATAATGCAGCTAGTATTTTTATCTAAACCATAGTTTTCATTTTTGCAATACTTTATTCAATTCTCCTTAGTTCCCGGTAGAGCTGTAAATATTGAATTTGTTTGTTGACAACCATGACCCATTTTGGAACATGACCAAGAAATTTTATCTTTTTTAACAAAAGAATTGGATTATGGGAATATCCTATATTTCGTACTGATAAAACTTACCACCCGCATATTAGGCTTTTCTCGTCATCCTTGGATTTTGGAAAACATTTTCGATGTGGCTTATTCGGTATAAGAAAGTGGAAAATTTTCGGCGTGGAAAATTTTTCTATCGCTTTTCTTGCTTTCTTCTAAAAAATAATTGTTCTTCAAATCTTTATTTTGACTTTAGATCCAAAGTTTGTTTCCTTCTCTGCTCATATTATTTAATCTGAAGGAATCAACAGAAAAATGTTATATTTAGCAAAGCAATGACCAAAAATACATCAGTCATTTTTTATAAATGACAAGTATAAATGAATTAATTTCAGCTTCCTGTAGTTTGTCTTCTAGAAATCACGTAAAATCCTTTCCCAAGCACACATATTAGTGAGTTTAGTTGTAAACACCACATCATAGACATGTATTTATTTTTGGTATAAATGGCAAAACCATAATTAGAAAGATTTTGCAACCAGCCTGTTTCGTTATTACCTTCTGGTCATCATAAGAAATTTTGAATGCACACGTCGAAAACTTATCTGCACCTTAGCAACAGCCCTTAATAAAATCATCGATAGAATTAAGTCTCCTGCTAAAATGATTATTTGTTAAGTGCGTTAACAATTACTATATTCAAATTAAAACCAACCCCGTTGGAGGTCCAAATCAAGGTGAAGATATTTCAGAAAATATGAGTAACAGGATTTTATTCTTATTGAGTTTAAAAGTTTTAAATAACCTAAACAAACTATATTGCGAGTTGTGAAAAACTGTCCTTGGTATTAGATGGGATTTCTAGTCCGCTAAATCAGGTTTTCGTAGTCTTTCGGTTGCATATTAGCGACATAAATATATATTTATATATATGAATCGTTTTATTAGTTTATGGAACAAAGAAAAAATGTTTGGAAAGTAATAAATTTGCTGAGTTTCTGCTAATATGACGCTGACAGTAAAGCACTTTCTTATACCGAAGCGTAAACAATTCCTGTCAATTTTCATATGTCTTTCAATATCTTTATGCTACAACACCAAAAAAAACAATTGTTCATTGTTTACAGAAAGCATATGAATAACTTCCTCCCCGAATTCATTAAAAAAACTAATTGAATAAGTATTTTTGAATTATTTGGTTTTATATTTAGCTCTTTCTCGCTGTTTCATAAACCTCAAGCGTATGTAGTATTTTATTGTCGCTTCTTGTCAAAGAAGTCATCTCATTTTGCAACATCAAATGACTTAATCAACTTTTGTTACATACCAATATACAAGGCTTTCTTCATGTGCATAGAAATACATAAAAGGGGTGTATATAAAAAACTATTTAATTAGAATGTTTTGATGTTGATCAGTTTTTGCAGCAGAAAGGAGTTCTTTATTTAGGACACTTGCTCTGGCCCTCAACTGCCACCCTCATTTGAGAACTGTTGAAGAGATTTTTGTCAATAATATTTCATTTTTTATCAATTCTGAGACTCATCTACAATAGTAATGAATCGCAGAATTGCATTCTTCGATATTTTCTAACTTATTACGTAACTAGATTATAAACTTGCTTGTTTTTCAGACGTTATGCAGGCAACCCCTAAGCTGCACAACCTTTAGATGTATGCAAAAAGCTTCTGCAAAACCTTTAGATATAAACACAAAGTTTTTTCTGTGGATATGTCTCATAGATTTATCTATAGACTGCCCAAAATACGCTGATTGTAAAATGCTACGAAAAAAATAATGATTTGCTTTTTTAAACAACCTCCACTTACTATCAAGGTTATAACAAGACCCTGTTAGGATTATTATTTAAAAAAAACAAAGAATGAAATGAATAGCAAGAGTTAGAAAATTAGGCATAATACCTTCTGCTATTTTTTACTTCAACCAGAATAACATTATCTCTAGAATGAAGTTTAAAAATTGAATCTCTAGCGAGAGTATGCTAAGTAAAAAACACTGCTCTCTGAAATGACTGTGGTAAATCTCAAACCATAAATTGGTTGATATATGAAAAACTGGGTGGCATCTCGACGTTGCAATGAAATCCCATCAAAAGCTCTTCTGGTATACCTCGTTAAGCATTAGCTATGATCAGCATTGCTTAATTCGTTTATCTTTTGCTAAACATTAAATATTTCGCTCATGTCTTCAGAAAGCCCAAAGCCTCTTGCTATTTCAGCTGCAACCAATATTTTAAGCTTAATTTGAGTGACCTACGAAACATATTACCAAATTTGTTTTTCTCACGAATATAAATCATGTAAATAGACCGCATTATCCTTTTGAAACCTTGTTTGTTTTTATTTTCACCAAAGTTAACCACACACTGCTCAAATTATGTTACAGATGTTTTTTCATTATGAAAAATACCAACTTGCTTAAGCAGGCGTGTAACTTTCTTTTTCTCTAAGCTGATCTGTCTATTTTTAATCAAGAAGGATCCTATTTTTATCCTGAATGTATTCTTCACATTTCAACATATTTTTATCCTTAATTTCATTTTTTCGATATAATTAGTTGGTTATATCTATAATTCGAATATCGTCGTGAAAGAGATAATTTGAAGCGTTGCCCATGGAAGCAGCCCCTTGAGGACTTTACCATTTTGAATTATTTTGTTTTAAAATTTCCGACTTTAGACACCGCAAAATATTAAGTAGTTTATACCAATTATCAATGTTAATAAAACAAGGCCAATTTTGTAATTTTTAACCTTTGTAAGAGAGAAGTCCTTTTGGATAATTTGGAGAATCTACTGTCCGAATTCAATCAAGCGTACAGAATAATATGTAATTTAGCTACAACATTGCATAATTATCTATATATTTTATCTAACTGAATCTTTTAGTCTCATCAGTATCCGAAGATTTTGAATCGTTCTCAAGACATACTATACTACAAATCGTGCATTTTCTGTGAAGTTATGCAATGTAGGTTTCTTCCAGTTTTGCCGTATGAAATTTAATTCAATATTTTCGTTACAGCCTTGTGTATCAGTGAAATCTTTTGAAGATCAGAAATATGATGCAAGAGAAAACCAGTGTTCTCGTTTCGACAAAAAAGAGTACCTTGGGCAGAAATATGTTTGGCTTCCATATATCAGAGGTATATATGCTCTAAAAAATTTGCAGATTTCTTTTCTTTCATTATGAAATATTTTTCTCTACTTTTGTATTAGTAGTACTCGCTAATTAAAATATTCTTTTACATAACTTTTTTCTCAATTCTAGTTCATAAAATTTTTTGAAAAATTGTCAAACATTTTGACACGAGTTTGAAGCTATGGCCTATGAAAATGTGTGTAGAAATCCTCCTGTTCAGCTGCGTCAAAACCTATATTATTAGAGAAAAATTGCCTTATGATTGCAGTAAAGTAGCCGTGCTGTATTTAATCTGGTCAAATTTTTCACTCTCGTACGTTTACTTATTTCTGATATTTTCATTCTTATAACTATTATAAACGAATAACTCACCTCTGTTTCCTTTTCAGAGGGACTAAGTGAATGCAGATTGTATTGCATGGCCAAAGGGTTTCGAATGTTTGTCGAGTTGGCAAATAGAGTTGACGAGGGAACACCCTGTGGCAAGAAAGGGAACGAGGCTTGCTTTAATGGAATTTGCTCGAGAGCCAAACCAAATGTAAGCTTATGTTTCCAATACCAAGAAGTTCTTTTTATTATATTGTCTTTTTTGCTTATCTCTTCAAAAAAGTAGCCATTGCATCGATTCCCCGAGAACTTATTCTTGTCTCTTGATTTCATGTTTAGTCTCGGGAACCGTATCGTTGCTTTAACTGTCACAGAATGTCCAGTTAAATTTATGTGTTTCCCCCTAATATGCATTTTTCTTACATTTAAGTAATTTGCTACGTTTCATACTCAAATTTTTTTTTAAAAAAATGATGCACAATTTTTCCTTTTTTGTTTCATCATGAAATTTTTTTATACGAAAGACGTTTTTAGATATGTATCCAAAAGCAAAGCACGTATTTTTTTGTAACTCTCTTTTTTAAACTTGGTTAGTTGTCCTTTATTTCTATCTTTTCACAGATTCCTATAAAATTGTACTAGTATTGCTTAGAGGATGTTTTCTTTTTCGCCTTTGCATTAGCTTGATTCTCTGTACCGTTTTTTACACTGACAGAAACAACCAATTCAACCTGTTGCTGCAATTGGCAGCAAGCATGACTCAAGTACACAAAACAAACAAACCCATCCTTCAACACTTTTCGTCGGTAACAGGCCCCCTCCTGGCTTGAATCTTGGTGACCGAGTCCTTGCTGGACAGCCCAAGGGCTACCTGCCGCTAGGCCAACGACTTTGGCAGCAAAACCATGGTCAGTACCCTCATGTGCAAAGCCGCTTTCCACCTAATGTACAGCAGCCGGGATTTCATCAGGGAGGCGGTGCACAGAATCAAAGGCGTCTACCTCAAAACTCAAATTTAAGGGCACTAAATGGCCACGGTGGGCATGTTTTCCAACAGTACTTGCAGAAAAATACAAAAACTGGACTGGGACTGCAAACAAACAAACCAAAATCCCAAAAAGTTTCCAAGGTCGTATCCGGTCATTACAACACGAGAGAAGGACTAAAACTAGGTTTGCAGCTCTCTTTGTATTTTCCTAACCATGTTATATCAAACGATTCCTATTTAGAATCTGTTTTCATTTGTAAAAATAAGGTTAAATTTATTGTCAAAGATTAGAAAGCATTCGTTTTCTATTTTTTGCCTTTATAGGCTTGTTCTGTAGGAGAGAAAAGTTACTCTATGGTTTATTTCCGTACAGCTCTTTCCATCTCTTTGTAGAGGTTATCAAATTGTCAAACATGAACATACAACTTTCCAGGTAATATTGAAGCCTTGTGTGAAGGCTGTTTGCCGTAAATGTTTCTAACTTTCTTATTCGTTTCAGGGTATAATACTATTTTCAAAATTCCTGTTGGAGCTTCAAACATCAAAGTACAGGAGGCTAGGCCGTCACCAAATTATTTAGGTAAGGCTTTCGTTTCCATGCGAAAAGCTGTTCCGCCACAGTGACATCTAAAATTATCATGGTTCTTGGTTCGGGCGATTATTTTGGTATTTTCTGTAGAATCAATAAAAGAGATTAATAATAGATGGACTAATGTCATGTGAAGTAAAATGCCTGCATGAATTCCCAGCGTTTGAAGTGGAAATGGAATATAGAAGTTAAAAGCAACTCCTTGAACATTCTTGATATTTATACGAAAAAGTTATTTTGAGTTGAAATACTCCCAAAAATGGAATGAGGGTACCGAGAGTGGTTGCATTATGGACCACAGTCCATCCTCGTCAGTACATTAGTTTTTATTAAGATATCTATAACTCTTTATTTACCTTTCTGTCGAACGAGACACTCAAAGAATTAGTAAAATGTATCTCGGCTCTCCTGAACAAACCTAGAAAATATTTAGATTTTCGTTTTTTGGTTACGAAAGAAAAATGAAATTCTTAACTGTATTACTTTTCCAAAGCTTGAGATTATACCAATATCCTGTTACATTTTCCTCTAAGAATCTGCTTGCATATTTCTCTTGGTGCTATCTCATACGGGTTTTTTATATCACGTTCTGCTTTAATTCTGCACCATGTTACTTATGTCTAGATGCACCTCTTGTAATTACCGAATATATATTAAAGATATTCTTTCGTTATCAGCCCTAAAGGTTGGCGATGATTACCTAGTGAACGGAAGATGGAGCATCACACTCAAAAAGGACGTCAAAGCCGCCGGAACAACAATAAGATATCGCCTTGGGAAGGGACCTGGAGGCAAGGAAACCATTACAGCAGAGGGACCTACCACAAAGGAACTGCAGATTGTGGTACTTAAACATTTTACAGTCCTCTTTAAGCCTCAGTCAAACTGACCTCAAACAAACCAAACATTTTATCGAACACGAGTCACAGTTTTACCTGGCTTTTTTCTATGTTGTTGTCAGCAGGTCAATTGTCAAGCAGAACTTACATTTCACCAAGCATTTCCTCGAAATCAGTAGATGTTGAACGTTGTAATCAATGCCACAACATAAGCAAGGCTTTAAGATTTCTTCATTATAAAAATTTGTTATAAAAATATTGCTGAGATCTTTTTGTTTATATCTCCCCTGCTATAAAATTTAACAAATCACAGCAAAAATCTTTGCATCAAGGCTCGTTCTATGCGCGTGAGTGAGACGAAGCCTACATTTACTTATCCACAAAATCCCCAAAAAGGGAGTTTCCTAAAACAATCACTCTCATTTTCCAGCTTTTATTTCAACAAGGACCACCAGAAGTATCCTTCAATTATACACTTAAGGTGCGTGAGTCACAAAACGCCAGAGTTTTCAAAGCAGCAGCCGTCTCTGTCCGTCAATCAGATGTAAGAACAAGAGGAAGGAAAGCACGGCCAACATTGCACTGGAGTGTTGCCGGGTGGACTAAATGTTCCACGCCATGTGGTGGAGGTACGTTGATACGTACTTACATATGATTATCATAGATCCTTTCATGATTGCTATAGTGACGTCAGAACAGTGACGTCAGTATAGTGACATCACAACAGTGACGTCAGATATTTAATAATGCTGTGATAAGCGACACACGCTAATAGTTTTGGCATATAGTTAGCATTTGGTAGCTCTTAATATCAGGTTTAGCAACAGCCTTAACAACCTTCGTTTATCGATACAGCCTTTTTGTAATTTGCCAAGTAATTTGACTCTTGAGAGTATACGTATTCACCTACCTAAAACGAAGACATTTTAAGTTAATTTCCATTAATTTTTCTGCAAGTTTAATTTTCCATTTCTCGGTATTTATGCTTTTAACCTCAACGTCTCGATTCTTTTTAAACTGTTTTATAGCCATATGGTCTAAGCCATTAAGTCATATTTTTAGACGACTCAATAAAGACCTTTTCAACTTCTATCTCTAGGTGAGCAGCAGTTGAACATACGATGTGTGGCTGTGTACCCAAGCAAACGCACCAAAATCGTTAAGAGCTCATATTGTCACACACTGAAAAAGCCGTTGCAGAGAAAAAGAGTCTGCAATATGCAGCCATGCAGACCAAGGTAGCTTTTTGCTTTGAATCTTGACAATGCTTTCTGCCTTCCTTATTGCAAGAAGTCTTCAAAAGACTATTTGTATATTGCAGTAAAATGTCTAACCTTATCCAAGTGAATGGCCTCAAAACTTAAGGATAAAGTATATATCACTAATTATGAAAAAAACATATCGCCTTTTGCGTTTGTCATAAAATTTGGAAACAACAACTTTGAATGAGTATTGATTAAAGTACTGTATGAGTTGTAAGAAGAATTTTCAACAGATATATATTTTGAAATGTGGTTTTCGTTACTCGTTGCAGTTTGCAAAACTTATACCTAAATTGGTATCTGAGTACCTTTTCTTGATGTATTTGTTATATTTTTCAAGTTAGTATTTGAAATCAGTTTTACGTAAGCTAAAATGTGTTGTATTCAAACAAAGAATGAAAGATCCTGTCGTGATATTCATGTCTATTTTGGTAACGTTCTTTGATTTTTTATAGATGGGTATTATTACCCTGGAAGCCGTGCAGCCAAACTTGCGGCGAAGGAGCCACCCAAACAAGAGATATTCGCTGTGTTAGAGTTGTATTAACGCCGCAAGGAAAGGTTGAAGTGGATGCGCCTCACTATGAGTGTGGGCCTAGTCCAGCCATACGCAAGGCATGCCCGTTTGTTTCTTGCTATAGATGGAAGAGCAAAGCCTGGTCTCAGGTATCCTATACTTAATTTACCTTAATCTTATTGATCACTTCAAATGTACAGTATTCGCTGTCTATGAAGCCCTATGTATAGTTGGAGTCAATCTGTTTAAAAGATCCTATTGACACCCTAGTGTCCATGATGTCGCCATAAGCTTAAGGTTGTTAAAAAAATTTAATTGTTTAAATGTCGTACATGAAATGGATTTGAAATCCTCTAACGAAGGCTCATCAACAAACTTCTGTTAAAAAAGAATTTTGAAATTTATTGAGCTGAATAGTTTTGTATTCGATGAGGTGCTTTTTGTACCCCCCTAGTGCCTACTTTCTCCCAAATAGAAAGACGTTCAAAAAACATGAATATAAACTAGGGAGGGAGCTTTAGCCAAACAGAATGCTACAATCCATATCATCGATCTTACTTACGGTAAACTTAATGTTACTTCAAGAGGATAAAACACAATTGAAATTTGCCAGAGTATTAAGCATCTCTTATGCTGTTTCGATGCCTGCTTGATGAATCGTTTGCTCTGTATGTTTAATTTGAGGGCAGGGTTAAATAGCAACTACGGGAGAATGGGAGCAATTCGCTTATTTATCTAAACAAATATACGCACCTTCAAGTTACTAAAGGAGAAATTATTTGAAAGTCTTCAAGCAGACACTTTAAAAGACAGTATTTCTTATTCCCCAAAATTTTCAGATTCACTAATAAACTCTTCCATTTTTAGTGCTCAAGAAGTTGTGACAAAGGTGTGCAAACGCGCAAATCATATTGCACTTCCGGGGAAACGATCGTCGAAGAGCAGCTATGCGATAAAGAAAGGAAACCAGAGCGGGCAAGAGTTTGTAACCTTAGGCCATGCCAAGCAGTGTGGTTCATGGGCACCTGGAACACGGTCAGTATACCACAGATTTATTTTGGTGTAGCCCTGTAACCTCCATTTTAAGTAATTGGTGGATGGTTGGTGGGCCTAAAGCTTCTATACCTTATACTGCGTTATAGGCAAAGAGAGGAGAAGCGTTTCGGATCCAGTTTAAATACGAACGAATTCAAACAAAGATTCTCAAAACATCATCATATTTTGTCAAATCAGCAGACAATATGTTTTCCTTTTGCCATTTGTCATTTCTCTCAAGAGCCCTTCTCTTTATGTGAATGTCTGATCGCTTCGATGTTCAAAGAAGTAGCAAGATGAGGCAGGAAACTCATATATTGGCTTATCTTGCAATACACTTTACGCTTAAAGGGATTAAAATTTAAACTAAATATTATACCTTGAGCTGAACAGGCATCAGTTGCAGTTTATATTTGAAAACATTAAAGTTCAAAGATTGTTATACATACCCATTTAAGTTTTCACACTTTAGTTCTTTAATAACTTTCAAATAACAATCCCATTTGATAGAATTTTTTTCACCAGGCAAACATATCTATTAAGTGTTCCACCAATCGCGATAGTGTACCACAAATATATATATCATCCTATTTTATTATAATATCACTTATTTTATGATCTTCCCTTTCAGTTTTGTCTTTTGATTTTTTGGGACTAGCTATGTGATTTTTGGCTCGCCGTTCCCTAAACTTTGTGATTGATATCATTTTATCCCAGCACAGATGATAATCAAGTATATTAATCGTTGCTGATCTCTCTTCTTAGTGTGACAAACTCTGCGGTGAAGGAACAGAGAAACGTTTGGTGTTCTGTGCTGGGAAAGATGGATCAGCGTTGTCGGAATCGTTCTGTAAAGGCCAGCCGAAACCAGCTCCGACTAGACCTTGCAACACCAAAAAATGCGATGGTGTTTGGTTCACGTCAAACTGGACGCAGGTATGTCTAACCGTGCAATAGTGTTGCATCGGATTTTTATCAGACCGGATTTGTATTTTTGCTAGCTTTGCTTTTACTAAGTTGCAAAATGTTAGTGATAACAATGATTTCCATATTAAACCTTTAGTGTGGAAATTCTGGGGTATTTTAATCTGGGTTGTTTTGTACAAGATTATCGTACCATAATGTAACTGGATCCCCCACCCAACATAAAATTTGGACGTTCCGACAACAAGCCGACTTTACGTGGCTGTTATTTGTCAGAAACTCGGCCATGTCAGACTCATTAAATTTTTAATGTATATCTGTGTGTACAATGTCTTTTCAGTTTGGTTCACAGATAAATTCCTTGTAAAAACGTAAAAGGAAAAGAAGATTTAATATGTAAACGCTAGCATACAAAGGGGAAACCTTTTACACTTGAACCAGAGTTCTTATTAATATATTTCCAATATTTGTCCTGTTTCGCATTTTTACTTGTGGAAACAGATAGGAAAGAGCTCCCCAAATTCTTACTTTACCTTACTTTACCTTACTTTTGTGTTTTGCAGTGTTCGAGTGAGTGCGGCCCTGGTGAGTACACGAGAATGGTCGTTTGTCTGAGCAAGGAAAACAACTCCATGATTCAAGTGTCTGACAGCAACTGTGACTTGCGTACAAAACCATCCTCTACTAGGCCATGTAGCGCTGGTCCCTGCCATTCAAAATGGTTGACCACAGAATGGAGTCATGTAAGTTGTCCTTCTTTGTTTATTTTTATTCATTGTAAAATCATCAAATTGTTTCATAAACTCGTGAGCCATCAGTTTGTTTCTACACCTTTTGAGTTTGATCTTTCCTTTATTGAATTAAAGCTGAAATGATTAAAAAACCACATCTTCCATGTTTTTAACAATTTTCTTCCTTTCCTTTGCGTAGTTTATGCAAATCGAAGTCCTTAACATAAAAATGCTTTTTCAAAACTTTCTCGAAATCGGGGTTTTCAAAACTTACTTGAACCATGACTATGCTTAAACAGTACATATCTGCGATGATAAATCTGATTACATATCCAGGACGTATCAAAATGCCCTCACGACAATTAGAAATATGTGGAGGCAATCGCGTAGAACTACTTTTGAATATAAAAAAAGCTATTATGGACAAGCGAGCCAAAAAATGGATATTGCAATTTGCGATTAACAATTTCTTCTTACATTCTATCAGAAATGACATGCAACTAGGTTATGATAACATTACTGGGTGCAGTATTGTGGCGGAAAGTGGGTTTCTACCTCGATGTCAACGAACGATAGTTAATTCAAAAATTTTACCTTTGTTTTAGGTTTATCATTTTAAAGACTTCTCTTGTGTATTATTTCCTACATATGTTGGATTAAGCGTGTTTTCATGTCGTGTTCTGTACCATCCTTTTCCTTTAATTTGCGCTTACATTTTATTGTTTTGATTTCAAGTTTTCTTTGAATTTTAGTGCTCACGAACTTGCGGGAGAGGAATACGAACCAGGCTGATCAACTGTATGCTGAAGGATGGTCAAATTGGGCGCGGCTGCCAAGTCGAAACAAGGCCAAGCTCTGCGATGATATGTCAAATAAGGGCTTGCGAAAATGAAATAAATGAAAGTAGACCAGTACCAGAAGAGGGAGAAGCCCTGAACAAATTAAAATCTACTCAAGCCACTAATGCAAATACGCAAGTTGATAGTACAGAGGCGACATTTTCAGTTTCATCAACGTCTAGAGACACTTTAAGGCCGACCTCCATAAGCGACTACGAAACAAGAGAGCCTACAACGATATTGAGAATGCTTACTGCCTCTGCTAAGGCTTCAACCGACAGGGTTCAAGCTACTTCTAGCAAAGAGGCATCAAAAAGCTTTGCCGCTGCGGAAATTGCTTATGTACCTCAATATGCTAGGAGATTTACCTTTAACCTTATTCCCAAGCAAGTTAAAACTACATTAAAGACGACGATAAGGTCCACGACTGTGCCAACAACGATCACAACTAAGCCAGTGGAAGTTTGCAGTGACACATTTAAACGTGCTTATTGCTCAGTTATACTTAGAATCGGGTTTTGCAAATTCACTACTTATAGAAAACGATGTTGCCAATCATGCAAGAAGAGATAATTGCGATTATGTTTCATAAATACAGTATATCCAGTCGGTAGTTGCTAGGGCAACAGATTCTGCCTCCCTTTCGTGACGATGAGACGCGATATCTACAGTGCTATCGAGATAGATTTGTGCAGAGTTATAGGGTCGATTTATAATCCATTGTCCCCATTGGTATTTACGAACGACTTGGCTGTGTTGAATAGACTCGTATTGGTACACAACTCATAATACACCATACAGGCTATTGGAAATATCCAAAGAGGGCATACAGGAACTGTCCAAATGAAAGAAAAATCACAAGCGTGACAGCCCAAAATATGCATCTCCAACAAGTGAATTTTTTCAAATCCTTGCACCATAGCCCGAAATTTGCATCTTTCAACAAGTGAGCTTGTTCAAATCCTTGCACAAATATAACCCTATGTTGCTATCGTTAAAATAGTACCACGCTGATAACACTTGGAAAGAAATCGGTACCAAGTTGCAAGTGTAGATTGAAGAGTAAGAAATACTCGCCCAAATTTATCACTAATACTGCATACTTGATACAACTGGCTACGAAATGCACAATTTTAATGATAGTGAACAAGCACTGCCAAAAAAGGGACATTGATTTCCAAAGACTGTTGTTTCAAGGCAGAAGAAACTGTAGTTGGGAAAATTTACTGTATATTAGAGACTTGGTAATTAGACTTAAAGAATTTATATGCTATTTATAATATTTTATAGCAGTTATAGTGTAATCTGTGTGCAAATGCACTCATTGTATTGTCTACCGTCTGTAAATAGTCAAGGGTAGTTTGCTAAATGTATTTTCATGATTTGCAAGCCTTGTGAGAAATTTTAAGTATTTCAACCAATTTAAAATATCAAATTTTGTAGGCATTGCAATTTGATTTCAAAAATATTTTCATCGACCTTTGAACACGATTTTTTAATGCCTTCGCGCTATATCATCTTTCTTAATAAAGATATCGATTAACATTTAGCCATTGTTTTTCGTTAGGCTTCTTTCGTGACAAACAATTGATAAATCAATGGCTCTTGAATTTAAATACAGATGTTTTTTTCAATTTTTCTTTTTCTTGTTAGCTTTACAGTTTATTGTGACGTGCGAAATTTATTTTTAAGTAATAGCAGAATATTTACTTTTAAGTTGGTACATTTGTTATTAAGTTTGATTCACGGTTTTTATTTATGTAAGCTATTCATCGTTTATAAAATACTTTTTACAGGATGTTTGTTCTCTGTATTCTGGAAGAAAATGTGGGCAACAGTTATAGAAATTTGTGTAAAAAATGTAAGCCTGGACCTGTAACTGACGTTTTACTCTAACCTTATACATTGACCTTTAATCCTATCCCATTGCTTCTGACCCTGTTTTCGACAATACGGTCCGGCCTTAACATTATCCTGTAACGTATCCAATCTGATTGATGTGTTTATTCACGAGAAAATATCTCTGTGAAAGCGTCGCTATGTGAAAACTTCAAGGAATCGTGAACTGACAATATCTCTCGATGCTAAAGTTTTTAATGCTCAAGTTCTATCCACTGGTTATTGTAAACTTTTAAGGAAATCAATCTATCAGCGTAACAGTTCACCATTGGAAGCTTTGCATCATAAGGGTAAAGGTAAACATTTCATAACGCTTTTATTATAAGCAACCATTGAGCCACGTGCATTGAGCCAGCGCTTTTTTTGTCAAGAGATTAAGAAATTAAAAGGTACATTTCACTGAATATTTAGATCTGTCGTGTTTAAACAGCCTTATTACAGTTGACTAAGGCCTCATAAGTAAAATGTCTTGTGCTCAAAAGATTTATACTCCTTATATGCCTGAAATTGTATCACCGTGTATAACTTCCCGTTGAATGATAAAAAGCTTACTATAAAGCTGAGAAACATACCTGTTCATGAATTCTCCATAAGTAGTTGATGATTTAATTTAGATCTGAAAATTTTTGCTCCATCTTGGACTTTCTGTATTGCATTCATGCATATATTTTAGTTAAATCTATTATAATGTTTTGTCTTAAATGTCGTTTTTCTGTTCACGCTCTCAATTTCTAATTTGCATTAGCCAAGCATTTTTTACTTTTTGACTTGTTGTTGAAACTTTTGAGCATTGAAAGGTAAAAATTTTTCCAACGTGTTGTGTCGGAACTGATCGCAGAAAAACATCACCAAAATTTTAGTGAAACCTCTATCCTATACCTGGATCAAAAGAAATCTGAGCGTTTGTTTACTTAGAACTGCAGTAATTTGCATAAGAGGTTCTAGGTCCCGTCAACATGTTGCTTCTATTGCAGCCACGTAGCTGCAGGGGGCACGGGGGGGGGCTGTGCCTGCCCAAGTGAAAATTTTGACAACTACTTGCCCCCTCTGGCTACACTTTTTCCAAATGATATTTTGAGAAGCTGGCATAATTATAATTCCGTGAGCTTGATTTAGACCAAATATATCTGTTTGTTATATATCTGCTCTTTTGTTTTAAATCCTGCCCTACTCAAGTATGGTTCTTGCTAGAGTTTGCCCACCCTAGCCGACATCTACCTCTACGTGGTTGCCCTATCGGTGAAATGGCTGATCTTGACACTAAAAACAATTTATCTAGCATCACTGATAAAAAATATTATTTTTGTTAGTTAACACATTGTTTTAAGTTCTTGCTTTATTCTTTTCATTTTTAAACCGACAGCCTATCGGTATATAAACATTGCTGACATTTCCCTATAATGACTGTTTCAATGTTTATTTTGACCTGTAAATTGATGGTATTTTTTTGCTGGGGATGAAGGGCACCAAATCCCACATCATCTAAAAAAATTATTATTTCTAGACTAGATATTTAGTCGTTTGATAAGAATTATTCTCATTACAACCGTGAAAGACTAATCCCAAACTATCTCGCGTGCTTGCAGCTTCTGAAACAGACAAAAAACAAAAAACTTTTACTTTTAAATGAGTTGTCTTGTCTTTTTTATAGGTTTTTTTCGAAAAACTTTGGTTAGCCAATTGCAAATTTCGTTTGTAAAACAAAACTACATTTCAAAAGCATCTTCGCAACTGGTTTCTACAAAAATATTCTCAAGCATAAACATAAGATCAATAGTTATTCATATTTCCTTACTCTTTGATTTCTTCTTTACAAATCAAACGAGAATTATGTGCCTCCCCCTCCCACTTACTTTCTCTCTCTACTCAATTTTGCCCTTTCTTTTCTTTTGATTATCTGAATTCTTATTGTAATTGTTTTGTTTCTGTTCTTAAACTCAGAATTTGAATTCATATCATTTTCAATAGTTTTCACTGTAATATAATCTGATTTTCATTGTTATCATTATTATATTTTCAACTCAGTATTTAGGGTGTTGGGCTTGAAAACTGTCCCGGTTCCTCCTAGCATCCTAGGCAATTATATTGTTAAATTTTTTTATGCTATTACAATTTGCAAATTATACTTCAATATTAATCGCTTTATTGACATCTAATTTTGTAAATTGTTGCTGAATATGAAATGAATTTGAATTTGAATTTGTAATAAAAAATTACTGCTATTTTCATTTTTCTGGTAGCCGGGGTAGCGAGCTGCTGCGCGGGCGAGGTAGCCTGTACGATGGTTCCCTGTGATCACATCCTACAGCAACAGCAACTCAAAACAATCCGGTTCAAAAGTCCTTCCAAAATGGCGGGTCCGCTGAGTAAGGTCAGAGTTTTAGAATTGGCTGGTTTAGCCCCTGTACCAATGGCTGGAATGATTCTTGCAGATTTTGGAGCATCTGTAATTCGTATTGATAGGATGGAACAAGGTTTTGCTGAAGATTTTCTTGCAAGGGGAAAGAAATCGATAATGGTTGACTTGAAAAATAAGAAAGGCATCGAAGTTGTTAAAAAGCTGTCGAAAAATGCCGACGTTCTCATGGATCCTTTTCGTCCAAATGTAATGGAAAAGCTTGGACTTGGACCAGATACACTTCTCAAAGAAAATGAAAAACTTATTTATGCCCGACTTACAGGTAGGTTCAGTTCAGTTCATTTCATTTCAAAATTCCACTACATACAATAAATTCAAAGATTAACTACAACTAAAATACAAAAAAAGGAAGGTAAAGAACAACAAACCGGGGGAAAAATTTTTGTATGTAAAGGAATTTCTTAAAGGAGAAGCTCTCTCAATGGCTTAACTAATCGAGAAGAGAACACCCCCTATTCTTAAAAGCCTGTGTTTTGAGGCCTATAAGATACTTTGTATCTGTTAACAATATTTTTTTTAGAAGAATTGGCTATCTTATCGTTAGCGTATCTATGTAAATGCAACCAGAACCAGAATGTCCCAGATATACATAATCGTAGCTGCTGATTTGACCATCGTAACTTATTCCTGAATTAAACTAATTGCCCTTTTGTTGAAAATGTTTCTTATAATTGTAAAGCATTGGTGTTGCAAAAAATTAAACTTGTTGAGAAAAGGTAGGATCAAATTTTAGAGAGTCAATGCTTACAAAACATGTATCCTCTAAACGTTGTTTTGAATTACCGTATTTACTCAGTGAGCGCTGTGGCGCTCTTTTAATTTCTGGTACTTTTGATGCAGTGCTTATTTGGGGGCAGCACTCTTACGGGGGTGGCACTTTTTAAAAACCCTGTCTTTTTTAATAAAACAAACTTTTTTAGTAATAAAACATACAAGTTTGAAAATATATTTAAAAGTACATAAAATTTCAAAGTCACTTTGTCTTCATTTTCGGAGACCAACTGCATGCCAACCATTGTTGGAGATGCCTCTTCAACATCAGATGGCGTTAATTTGTTGCATTGAAACGGATTTATATTAGGTTCATCCAAAATATCCAACTGCGATTGAAGAATTTCTTCCAGAGCTGCATGGCGTCGTCCTGTGACCCCTCAATAGGGAGGTTCAACGCACAGCATGTGAAAGACTTCTTGATGAAGTCAATTGATTTTTGATCTAGCGCCGCATTTACCAAAGATAACTGCAACTTTATTTGTCACAAATGTGGCGCTCATTCAGAGGCGGCCCTCACACGGGGTCAGCGCTCACTTGAATAAATACAGTACCCTTAGATTTATTCAATTTGCTTTCTGTACAACAAATATATAAATGCAAAGTATAACACTGTGCAAAAGAAATGTAGGCCCATCCCGAAAGTGGTGCACACGCCAAAATCAAGTGCATCAGTGCCGCTACAAAAACTATCGGTGTCAGAATTTCTAGATTTGCAACCATTTAAATAAAAGCATAGAACAGCTAAAGATTTTGCAAAATTGTTACATAAAATTCTGTTCATCTAATACTTTAAATTCTGTAAAGGGTATCCTTAGAGGAGATACAAGCTATTGGGCTGGGGAGGGGCTGTAGCCCCCTAACATTTGATTTTTTTTTTAAACAGACCCCAATCGGATAATAGTCTTCCCTTAGTCCAGTAAATATTTTTGTAAACGATGGAATTTTTGTTGGGTAGCCTCCATAGATTTGTTTTTCCCATACGCTTATGCACTCACAGGTGGCCCTGGTTGGATTTCCAGAGGTGCACCATTATGACAACGTGTTGAAAATAAAAAGAAGTCTAAAAAAATCTCTTGTTTCAAGGGAAATTGAATAACTTACAAGTTTTTCCCAAAGTCTTAATGTTCAATGCTTAACAGAGCTGCAGAAGTATTGCAGTTGTATCTATATCAAAACAGAAGACAACAATTAAAACAATATTTTACCCTGCCTAAGACAGGCTTAAAATGAATGGAACTCACTTTTCAAATTCTGCAACCAAACTTCAAAATATTTGCAAAAATTATCGCAAAAGTTTTTGTGTGTATTTTTTGGCAAACCTCAACTTTTGTTGCCTCTTCTTCAAACTTTAATGCAAGAGGTTAAAAGGTCAAGATTAGACTAGTGCATCAACTCATGGCCACAAGACTCTAGTTGTTTGACAAGCCAGCTTACACCAGACAATTTGCATCTCCAGTCAAGAAAACATTTGATCAGGTATACGTTTTGATGTAGAGCATTAACTATGAAACAAGTTTGATTCCATAAAAACCTGTGGGATGTATAGTAAATCATTATCATTTTTTCCAACGTTTTTTAAAGTAATTCATGACTAATACTTCTCTCTATCTGACCTAAGCAGTGCTTTTTGATAATAAATACCTTCTTTACAAGAACCTGATCACCTCTATCCATCTAAGTGTCCTTCATATCAGCAAATAAAAACATTTATTTGTTGGATGCTCCCTCATGCCCCTTGGTTAAATTCCATATCATTGCTTTTCAAATGCTGTCTATTTTATACATTAAACCTACAAAAATATCTTGTGTTCTATGGCTCTCAAAAGTATATTCAGGCCGACTGGAAGTGCAAAAAACCAACTTTTTGAACAAGAATGCTTGAGTCATTACCAGTGAAAATTTTGGTTTGATTTTCTTGAAATGAATAACTTTATTGGATGTCAAATTCAAAAAAGCTTCCCATCCAATATCTCTTGCACACTTGAACATTTGTCAACAGTGGCTCAAATTATCAACAAGGCAAGTATAATACCACGTTTGCTGGTTGTCACACTTCACAATCTAAAAAATTCTTTTGGCCAAGTATGTTATAGTTTCATACCCATTGCACTGTTTTACCATCATATCCTTGACAAAATACTACAGCTCCTGATCTCTAGCCTTTACACCATCTTTAAAACCTCCATCATTACAAGTTGCTATTATACCCCTGCTCTTCTAATCCAACATGGTGTGCCACAAGTTGACTGCCTTCGTCCTTTCATATTTGTTCTATGTTTCAACATATTTATCCAGCTAAGATTATAACAGTTCAAGGTTTATTTCCATGGGACCAGCACAACCGTTCCTGTGGTGTTCACTGATTACAATTCGCAGATAATGCTGCCATTATTGCCAGCAATGAAAAAGAAAACCAACTTATACTGAATCATCTCACTTGCTGGTGTTAATGGGCTAACATGATCATACCTGTTGTTAAATGACATCACTTTTGCAATAAAAATATTTTCCTTCTTTTATATTCAGTATCATCCAAAACTCTTGCCAGACCTAGATCTTTTACAAAATAGCCCTATTGTGTAATCGAATGTGTTGCAAATCTATCGTATCCACTGCAGGGTAATACGTTCTAACTTGAAATAAAAAAGAGAATTGCAAAGAAACTTCATCCCACTTGGAAGAAGGTGATCGCAGGAATGCCCATATATTGCTTCGTACCAGTGGCGGAAATTCATTTTTCAAGAGGGGGAGACCCACAAAAATTTCCGCCACCAATGTTTCTATTCGAGTGGAAATATATCGGTCGACCCTTTTACTTTGAAATTTTAAACCAGGCACATAAGCCTTATTCTTTATCGTCACTTTTAAACATGCTTTTTTAAAAATCGTGTGTCTTAATAGGGTTTACTCTTTCCAATTCAAAAAACGTGGGTTGTCGAGAATCTTGACAACCTCGTATCCAAATACATCTGTCAATGGCTCAACCTCCCAATAAGGGCTACTTTGAATGTATTTGTTCACCAAACGATAAAATTCGTTCCTTGTAGAAAAATATACGAGCAGTAGCACAAATATACAGTATTGTATATAAATGAATTCAAAAGAAGAATTAAAGACAGCTCAGTAAGAACATAATTCGCCTGCAAAACATCCTAACTTCTCAAGGATCTTTATTAATCACACTTTCTTAACCAACCTCTTCCACAAGGAATCAAAGTTTAGAACGATGTAAATGTAACTTGTCAATCAGAAAAACTTGCGAAGGTAGGACTTGAACCATTTTGCCATATCTTGCAAAACTTTCTAGCTACTTCTCTAAAATTTGTTAATGGGACTACATTCTATGCGACTACATACGTGGCTATCTTTCACCCCCAATTATAGCATGCATCGCAACTATTTGAGAGCCCTTGTAGAACGGATTGCTATAATTTTCTGTTCTCAAACTAAAATTAAACAGGTTCTCAGTTATGAAAACCATTTGAGCTATTTTAAGCCTAGAAAAGAAGCACTTTCCTTGTATCATCTGTGTACAATTCTTGTATTCCAATGTACAATTTTTGTCAATTCTAGTGTATACAGCTTCATTATTTCCTTAGTGCAAATTTGTAATTGTTATTCCTGGCTTAGGAAGGTAGGTTTTAGGCCATTGAAGAGCTTTGTTTATCGAGCAGTCTCCTGGTCATTCCACACCTCGTTTTTCATACGCCTGGAACTACAAAAGGCTAGCGACTTCCTTCATTCTAAGTGAAAGTCTGGTCATGTCAATTTCTCGATTAACTGACCCTTGAACCTCTAATTTGCAATCCTGGCCATTGAGCTATCCTCGCACTGAAGTTTTCTATAACTATTTGTCGAGCTGCTCTCATATTTTCACCGTGTTATTTCTTCAAATACACGGTAACAAATTTGTTTCAATTTTAATGATTTCTTCCGTTTCCAGGCTTCGGTCAAGATGGCCCTTTATCTCAAAAAGCTGGTCATGACATCAACTATTTAGCGATATCAGGAGTTTTATCCATGCTTGGAAGAAAAGGAGAGAAGCCCCTGGCACCCCTAAATCTGGTTGCTGATTTTGCTGGTGGCTCCTTCACGTGTGTCATTGGTATCCTAATGGCTTTGTTTGAGAGATCTACGTCTGGAAAGGGACAGGTCATAGACTGCTCTATGGTAAGTGACTTTTCATTGCAACTTGAGTAAATTTCGCCTCACTGCAATCAAGCCTGCTTTTGTCAAATAAAAACATCCATCCTGATTCACTTGACTCATGTTCAAGCTGGAAGAAGTCGAATTATATTGCTGAATCTCAATGATGGCGAATTTCTCTGTACATTAAAGGTAACGATTATCGTTTGGTTTTCGTATCACTTTTGAAGTTATAGATGCCCCCCCCCCCCCAAAAAAAATCCAAATGACACCCCGTCGGCAGCCAAATAGAAGAAAAGAAAAAAAACTGTCGGCACTTTGAAACTGTCGAATGAGAGTTTATTTCTTTTATAAGAACCATTAAATTGAACTTCAAAGCCGACAGTTCCAAGAAATTTTCTGGAATGTATTTTAAGCTAAACTAGAAGACGCAGTCGCAAAATTTTTCTTCTCGCTTCGCTCGCATGAAAGTCTCTTCTCATGTCTTGACGCCGGGCTTGTGCTAACTATTAAATGCGTAGCCATTTTCACTTTCAACGAGATAATTCCTTGATATTCAGTTAAAATAGGCCTAGATGCTTGACCTTGACGTTGTCCTCGATCTTTTTAAAATAACATTTTCAAAAGCAAGATCATACTGTCTTTGGCAGAAACTAAGCAATAAATGGCTCAAACTTGCTTAGCCAGTAAATGGTGTAAAGGCCTACAAGCTAGGCACATACAACAGTTTTTCGTTAATTTTCAAAACGTTTTAGATTTAAAGAAACTGTGAAGGGGAGTTCATGAAATATGTCGCCAATCATTTCTAAAGTCGTCGGCACTTGAATTTTTCTAAAACTGTCGGCACATCGTTGTTTGGGTTCTAGCGCCACCCCTGCTTGGCAAAGCGATTTAGAATGGTTCTGTTTGCCTTTATCTTTTTCACCATGATAACCATTGTAATGGCAAGTTCTCAATGTTTCCTAATTAATTTTTTTAATACACAGCCTGTTGTGATGTTTCAAGGAAATTCAAATTGTTTTTCAAACCAAAAACCTATGTCAAAAGAGCTAGCCAACCTCTGCTTTTATCTTCATTCAAACACAACATGTTGTTAACTCTTTACATTGGTCCTTTGGGTAGTTCATTTTTTGTGTATAGACATAACTCTAAAATAAAAAAATAATTTAAATCAAAGGTTTGTTTAGTTCATGTTTGCTTCTTGATTCTTCAATTTATTTTTTATAATTGATAAATTCATCAATACTTAAATTTGGTCTTTTTATTGAAGATATGTAATCTTTTTCTAACTTGTTTTTTTATTTTTTATTTTAATTTAACCATTCATTTTAAAATTTTGAATTTTTTCTCTTATCAGCATCTATTTAACTTTTTATTTGTCTAATTGTTAACTTTCATTTAAATTTTATGTTTTCTATTTGTTTGCTATTTTGTTTAATTTTTATCATGCGAAAATGGAAAGGTGCTTGGATGTCCTTGCTAACATATTTGCTTTCTCCATAACATTTCTTGAATAAACAAACACTTCTTGACACCAATAAAGCACAAGGAGCTTGTTTTACGACCACTGTTTTGTCTTTACGACTACTCAGCCCGCCGGAAGAGCTGCAGGGCAGGGGGGGGGGCGAAATGCCAAGAAAAGGACACACAATAGCGAAATAAGAAAAATTGCCTAAAATTGCCAGGGCTGGGGCAGCCACCCCTCCCCCCGCGCTCCAGCGTCACTGTTTTTACTTAGCTTACCTAACCTTATTTTTTCCGAAATACAATTCCGATAAGACCAAGGACCGAGATACCGAGGGGGCTGGGGGCCTTAGTAAAATACTTTTGTTTTGTAAAATATGGCTGTTGCTATACTTATTTATCGGTCTTTAGAATAGAGAACCTGAATAGACAAAACAGAAGTATTTCTGATTAGCACCTAAACCTTTCCTTTCATTAATAAAGTATTATGCATTCGTTCTAAACTTTTTCTCAAGTGTTTTTATATCTTCTTTCCCACTGCCTTGACATTCCCACTGCCAAGTTTTTTTTCGTATGTTCCCATCAAAAATCTTAATTTGTATGCAATTAATTTAGTGACTTTTCCGTAATTTTAAAAAATCTAGCAATCTTTATGTCATCATTGTCATTAATTAAAATCTGAATTTCTGATAGTTTGATCGTTGTTTTTAGTTTTTTTTTATTTCAAGTAATAACTCCACACATCTAATCCATCGGAATTATCACCACCTTTAAATGCATTCATCATGATTGTATCTGAGACAGATAACAACATCAATTTATTTTCATCTTTACTAGGTCGTATTTCTTTGCCGGAAAGATATTTTTTTAATTTGTTTATTGTCTCTCAAACATTTAATTTCGTTTGATTTTATTTATTTGTTTACTTTTTAAATAGTATTTACACTAATAAATACGAAAATTAGCAAGTTTGTATAAAAACTGAAACTCTTTTAAACTTCATATGCACATTTTGTTAGCAAAACCCAGGTCATAACTGCTATTTTCTTGGAAGATAATATAAAAATTCTGTTTCCTTTACAATCTAGAAATTTTATTCCATAATTAATAACATCAGTCAAAGGGCTATTATGGGTTTGATCAAAGGGGTAATATATAGACATTCATTTTTTGCAGTTTTTTGGCTTGCTACAATAAAGTGGCTTTCTATTTTCAAGCCTGCAAGTGGCAGAAACGATTTTGAGTTTACCTCACTTTTAATTCAAATCCCCCCTGCTTTTAAGTTTTTACCTTTTTTGTTTTTGTTCACAATTAGGTTACGCCTGTTTTCATCATATTCTGAATCATGACTGACCTACTTTGCTAATTACTTCTATTTTTATTTTTATTAAAAAAGGTATCTAGGCCAAGATGACCTCTAACCTAGTTACAATATAAAAATAACAATAAAAGTTAATAGAATTACTGCTACAACAACTTGTCAAACGTTAATATCAACTCAATTTTAAATAATACAACTTTTAATTACGAAAGCACGAGAATATTAAACATACGCAATATCAAAAGCTATTTTACAGCGAAAAATCTATATAATCAACTAATAATTAGAATCCGGGGTTTGAACATCTTGGGAATTGGTACTGTTCTACTGTTCTTTCAATTTTGTTTCAAAGCATTTATATTGAAATGTGGCAACTAAATTGAGACATTTCAAGTCTTCTTGGCTTTATCCAAATAAATTGATTCCAACTTGTTAGCTGCTTTAAATTAGGGGCTGTTCGTTGGAGTTCATTGAAGAGATAGCCCCTTTTATCAGGGAATTAGCAGAAAATAAAGCACACCATAAGTAAATAAAATTCATCTCCTAAAACCCTTAAACCTGTCGCTAAGCAGAAACTGCAATGTCGTTCTTCTCTGGGGATAGGGTTTTTTCTAGAACGGCCAGTTTCTACTTCTAGATTATGAGCGCTTAGTCTTGAAAGTGAAAGGCATCGTCTTTTGTTAAAGTCTTTGAAAATGTCAAGTCAGGATTCGAATTTGAAAACCGTTTTAACTTGAGCATATGTACATAATTTCTTATTTAGTACAACGTGCATTTTAAGCTTGTTCATTATTTCACTCGCAAAATGACTTCTAACCTTAGATTTTATCGCAGCAGTGGTATCGTTGTGACTGATTTCATATATGGTGTTCAATTTGTGGGCTTTCGATACCCATTTGGGGGAGCCATTGTTTGTGCCGTTCGAGAGCGCTTCAAATGATTTGCAAACGTACCTATCTGGTTCCAATTCAAGAATAGACTCAAGCCTGAACAAGAATTTTAAGATATTTATGTGCCTGCTACACTGAATGGAAATTCTGCCTAATTCAGCATAGCCTCAGTGCAAGTAGTAGATTTAGCTCCAAGTATGTATTTACAAGCAGAGAGATGTAAACGTTCAAGGGTAGGCCACTCATCAAATCCCTAGATTTCTGAGCCATAATATATGATGGGTACTATCATCTGGTCAAATAAATATAGAAAGAGTCCAGGCTGTAAACCATTCAACTCTTTGCATCGAACTTCGTCTTAAGTCAGACTCTGATTATTTTGTCTGACTTATCGGGACTATTCAGAAAAGGGAGAAAGGAAATAGAACACAAAATATGTATAAACCTTTCTTTTAGTTCGCATTAAAAAAAATCAGTTTTTTTTTTGCTTTTTGCATTTTAAGTTTTCATTCTCCACCATCGACGACATTTTTGCAACTAAATTACCAATTTCTCCACTATTCGTAAACAGGGAATAATCCATAAGTGTTTCAATTGCTCGAAAAACTTCCTGACTACTAGGCTTGATTGGTATGTCTTCACTCCTTTCCGCGAATTCAACATCATAATTCTCATTTTCTTCATCAAGGACGCCACGAATTTCTTCTACAATCTCCTTATCTCTTAGCAAACCTTCGGTCACTTGAACATCACAGTCGACATCAACTACATCTTCACACTGTAAACCAGCAGGCACAATTCGGTGGCTATGTGCGCTTAGCTTCTCTAAAGCTTCTCGTAATTGATAAAAAGGGTCGTCATCTTCTTCACTGCAAACATCTTCAGAAAATCCTGATTTCGCGAAACAATTAGCCATCGTTTCCGTACTAAACTCTCCCCAGGAGAGAACAAGCACCTTCATAGCTACGAGTATGGAAATTACTGGGAGTTGCTTTCCTATGTTAATTGCAGCCAACATTTTCTGTATTTTGCGGGCTCTGTACTTTGACTTCAATGACCAAATTACCACTTGGTCTTTCGGTTGTAACGCTGACGTTGTATTAGGGGGTAGAAAGTAAAGAGTAATTGATTTGAGATTTTCAATTACTGGATGGGCTGGGCAATTATCAATGGTCAGGGCACCTTTCGACCATCTTTTTCGAACCTTTCGTCTTGCTCTCTCACCCATTCTTCGAACAACTCCGAATTCGTCAAGCTCTTTTTTTGGGCACGATAACGGCAAGGAAGGCTTTGTATGTGTTTTAAACAACGTGGTCTTTGCGATTTTCCAATGACAAAAATTGGAAGCT